TTTCAACAAAAAACAAAACCTCAATAAAATCCACCCAAACTTCGCTTTTTAATAAAAAAAAAAAAAAAAAAAAAAAAAAAAAAAAGCAAATCTATCTATCACTACTAAGTATAACCCTAAAACACCAAAGCCACCCATCCACTGCAACAAAGAACGGCAAGAACCACCGAAAACCCATGAAGAAACCTTGGAAGAACCACCCAAAAAACCACTGAAAAATGACAAAAAATCCTTGGAAGAACCAACGAAGAATCTCTGAAAGAACCACCGAAAAACGATGAAGAATCCTTGGAAGAACCACGGAAAAACCACCAAAGAATCCTTGGAAGAACCACCGAAGAACGATGAAGAATCCTTGGAAAAACCACCAAAAAACGACGAAGAATCCTTGGAAGAACCACCTAAAAATGACGAAGAATCCTTGAAAGAACCACTAAAAAACGTCGAAGAATCCTTAGAAGAACCACCGAAAAACGATGAAGAATCCTGGAAGAACCACCGAAAAATGACGAAGAATCTTTGGAAGAACCACTGAAAAATAACGAAGAATCCTTGGAAGAACCACCGAAAAATAACAAGAATCCCTGGAAGAACCACCGAAAGAACCACTGAAAAATGACGAAGAATCCTTGAAAAACCCACCGAAAAACGACGAAGAATCCTTGGAAACCCCACCGAAAAACGATGAAGAATCCTTGGAAGAACCACCAAAAAATGACGAAAAATCCTTGGAAGAACCACCGAAAAATGACAAAGAATCCTTGGAAGAACCACCGAAAAACAACAAGAATCCTTGGAAGAACCACTAAAAGAACCACCGAAAAACGACGAAGAATCCTTGGAAAACCTACCGAAAAATGACGAAGAATCCTTGGAAACCCCACCGAAAAATGACGAAGAATCCTTGGAAGAACCACCGAAAAATGACAAGAATCCCTGGAAGAACCACCAAAAAATGACAAAGAATCCTTGGAAGAATCACCGAAAACCCACTGAAACTTCACAAATTTACCAGAAAAAAAAACGATGAAAATCCTACGAATTTACTAAAAAAACTCAATGAAAACTCACTGAAAATTCACAGAAGAACCCACCAAAAAACAACTGACCAAGAACGAAGAACTTACCGAAAGAACCCACAGAAAAATGAAGAATTTACCGAAAAAAACCACAAAAAATGACGAAGTTATTGAACAACCTACCAAAAAACGACGAATTTACTCGAAAAATAGCGACGAACTTGCGAAGAACCCAACAAAAAACCTATTAAGCCTACAAAAGAACCCACAGAAAAACGACAAAGAACATGGTGGAAGAACTTAATGAAAAAAAACCTACCGAATCACCAAAATCTGATGATCTAAGCGCGACTTCACAAGGCTCCAACTACTGCTCCAACGACGGCACTAACAAAAGCTTCAGTGACAGCACCAACGACGACTACAGTGACGATTCCAGTGACGACTCTAATGAAGATTCGAAATAATTACTAAAAAAAAAAAATACTACGTTAAAAAAAAAAAAAACGAAACTCCAAAAACGACGACTTCAAGAAAAGAAGCAGCTAAAAAAAGAGAAAAGTTAGTACCCGTAGCAAAAAAAAACAAACTAGTAA